TATACAGTCAAATATTTCGAAAGATGAAATTAAAATTAATAAACCTAAATTTCTAAACAGCTAAAAAGTACTTTCAACATTAAAGTATATAGAAGTTATAAGAGAAGAAAGAAACTGCAGCTTGATCTTGATATACAGATTTTAACTTAACTTCTCAAAGTATCTGAAGTTAAGTAACAGAGGAGGGACAAGATTGAGATAGCTGAGGCACTTGCCTCAGTGAACAACTTTAAGGAGCGTCAAATTAGCTACGAAAATTTAGAAATTAATTTTAAAAAACGGTACTATGGTTGTTGAGTTTCAACTCTCGAACACATCAAGACGTATCAAACGAGTCTGGAGTGGTAATCAATCCACCTGAATTGCGGAACTGCAATAGATACTATTTTGTAACATAAAAAATTGTTATTTTAACTCACGTACTGAAATTCGTTTAAGTTAGTTGCACTTAGCTAAGTTGCCAATACATTTATCCTTTCATCCTGAAGTATAGATCTTAGTGCTTTCCCCCAGAAGGTATAGTGGTTAGGGAAGCCTTCTGTGGTACCGAAGGGCTCGGGTTCGAATCCCGGAGAAGACGTGGGTGTTTGTAAATATATAGTGTCCGTGCAACATGGGGGCACTCTAAATATGCAGTGAGTCGAAAGTTTTGCCGTATGGATTGGAAGGGTGAGAGAACCCGGATCACCCCCCAGCGTGCTCTCCCTCAAATTTGGGGTGGAAAAGAGAAGTTCAACCTCTCTTTGGAGTAGGTTTTGGCAACCATTCTTCCATGTAAATGCACACAACAACAGCTCTTATTACTCTTCTCCATAACAAACTTTTCTACTTAACAAACAAGTCTACTGACTGAGTACGGACGATGATACAATTGCCTACTCTGACGCTTACAACAGGCCTAAAGCGTAGAGGTCCATTGGAAAAGCATAAGTAGGCTAAACAAGAGTGTTCGAAAATGAAATGTCCGTATTATCAGTTTTTTGCTTCCTTCTTCTAATTCTTGCCTTTAGAAAAGATGCGTGCGTAGCTTGAGGATTTGTTATGTTGTTCCCGTACTTGATATGTGTCAACATTGTGCAGTCTACAAGAAATAAGACAAACTCCGACATCTATATGTGTGGGGAACAGGGAACTCTTGATCATTGCTCTTTCTCATGCACCTTAAGTGAGGATAATCCCATAAAATTCCTACAAACTGATCTCCTGGCGTTCCAAAGGTTTCTGATTAAAGATAAACATCAGTGTCCAAAGTTTTATAAAATTATACGATGACTATCTTCCTGCGGCTTAGATCTTCATCAAGTATAAGTTCCTCAGGCTGCATAAATTTAATGATTTTTCTACATCTTGTGAATATGTTAAAAAAGATTCCTCTTGCGAACTTTATAAACTGTACTAAACTACTCCAGCATACCATTTTAAGTACCTTTTTCAAAATTATGTTGGTTTCTTGTCAAAATTATTTTCTGCAATCTCAAATTTTGCATTTAAAAAAAATTGAGCTCTTAGAATCTTGCAGTGTTTTTGATGTTATTCTCAAACGATTTGACCCGTACACATTTATTTAGTATTATTAGTACAGTATTTGAGTATTTGAGTTTTAAAAAATGACCAGTGCCCTCGCCGGGGATTCGAACCTAGACGTCTCTAATACGCACCGAGTGTTCTTCCATTACACCACGAAAGCATGCAGAAAAGAGGGAGAAAATACCTTATTACTCACCCTTAGGGCGACTGGGAATTAGGGGACTCAGTCACCATATCCTGAAGAATCATCATCCACCACCTCTTAGTTTGGGCCACTGTAGATTCATTAGGTTATTTGAAATAGGAGTTGAGAAAAATGAGCATTCCCTTTCCCAGGTCTCGAACCTGGATCTTCCTAATACGCTGGAGTTTACTACCGTTACATTCAGAAAGGAGGGGGAAAATACCTTATACCATAAGAAGTAAATTTCCTTTAGAAAGCTTCAGAGGCTTATCTTCTCAACCTTTAATTCGTGAACTTTGATAAACGCTTGCAATTTTTTTAGGGTTTGTTGGTATGGGAAGGCATTACTATTTGACCCATGGTACATCGCTGATGTCCCCCGTATTTTTACCTGTACCTGAATCTGGGGTACAGAGAGATGCATTTTACCTCAGACGAAGCAATGAATACTCAATATACTATCGCATATTGGGTACTACAAGTTCTAATGTTGTGTATGAACGCCCTCTGCATTCTGATTACATGACTGTATGCTGCTGTTTTGCTACTGACTTCATTCTTCGACCCTTTCTTCTCAAAGGGGATTATTCCTCATAGCCCATGGTTCCTCTTATTTCGATTGTGAGGTTTCTTGAAAGGTCGCCTTTATTGAAAAAACACACGAAGGTTGTCTGAATTGAAAGCAAGCATAACACGCAGTGGAGATGCAATCCCTTAAGAAATCCTTAGCACTACTGTTGAAAATGTTAAACGCTCTTTATAAACATTTAATTGACGCAAATGCAGTGAACATTGAACCGATGTTCTAATTAAATAGCGTTTTATGTTCCTAGTTATTTATATCACACCATCTCATCCGGTGATCCAATTTTGAATTATTTTTATCGCAGTTTTCCCCATGGTCTATACTATGCATGTACTAAGTTTTAAAGAAATATATCAACATAATAGGATCTTCATAGAGCTATATTCACTTTAATTATAATCAGCCCGTATATACGAAATAGTTTTCTTCAGAAAACCTTCCACGAAGACATTTTATCTTTAAGCAGATAGCCCTTATGTGCTTTGCTTTAGCCAGTTAACTTAAGTTAAATCAGTCACTTTTCAATCCATAACTTATCCATTAAAATTGTATACAACTAGAAGCCCATTGAAAGAAAACAGAAATTTAAAAATTGCATAGAATGAGAATTTACGCCGATGCACATTTCCTGCATTTATTTCTTACTTCAGCTCTTTAAACTATATATAAATAACTACAATAACTTAAATTAGTTATAGGAATGTGAAGCAAACGGAAAGCAAACATTTTGTTACCGAGAAAGGAAAATGCTTTAAATAATCCCACAAGTGTGACCAATTCGACAAGGATGTAAAATATTTTATTCACACATTACGCGTGAATAAAAATGAACTGAGATATCTGAATTAAAAATTTGTGTTAAAAATATTTAGATGCTAGATTTACGGATCAGCAAATAGTATAGCAATTTAATTTGTTGTCTCCGAAGAAATACGATTTAAGTTATCAGGTATATCTAAAATTATTGAACATCCTATAGAATATTAAATTAATGTTGAAAATTCCAAAACATTTCCTACCCTTTGAATAAGATTCCATATTGGAGTCTCTTGCACAAGCTACAGAAATAGTTGCTTTATTACTGGAAAACAAAATAACTGAATCAAAAAGTATTTGTGACATTAGGTATAAATTACCCAGTTTGTATTTTTGCTTAGTAATCAAAGTTCAGAATCACAAAATAAGAGTTTCAAACTTTGATTTACCGACACATATCTCTCTTCTATAACGTATTTTTGTAATTACCACTGAAATACTGTATGAAAGAGTTTCAGAAGATCTTCCGAACGATAGCCAAGTAGCTGTACTTGAAAGTCATGAAAGAATTTACGAACTCAAAATATTTTATATATTCCCATTTTTCATTGTATCTAATAATACTTTTGTTCATTATAATTTTATTATTGACACACAATTAGTACACTAAAATTATAATATATGATAGATACTCACTCTCTCTCTCTCTCTCTCTCTCTATATATATATATATATATAATTTAAGGTGCAGTAATTAAACATAGGTTTTTATGCTCAGTAGCTATCAATAAACGTTGCTGAAAAGTGAAAAAATCCATTGTTCTCAGTTTTTTTTTTTTTTGTCTTAAATAAAAATTTGCAGTACTTCGATAGTTATGAATATAAAATTACTTAGAATAAATTTTCATTCAGCGACGATTTATTTGTAATTAAACATTTCATTGTTACAATGGATAAATATGTCATATATCAAAAAAAATATTTAAAATTGACATTGGGCATTCATGAGACCCCTTCTTGGCTGATTCATAAATCAACTTCTTTTGCAAGAACACGAAGTTTAAAAAGTGAACAATGTTATCGGCAGAAACTTACAGATCAATGAAGAACTCAATTCCTATAGAAGTTTTATTTTTTTAAAAAAGAAGAAACGAAAGAAAAAGATAACTACATTTTAAGTTCTTTTCCACCCTTTCACTTACTCTCCTTTACTTGGAAATGCAATGCTTTTATCTTGAAAAGCATATGATTCTTATGCGTGTATATAGTAATCAAGGTCTTTAAAATCTGAAAAGAGTTACAATTTCTGAAATAGATGTAAAGACTCTCCTTTAGATGTCAGGAATTGTTAAAATTAAACATTTGGTATTAACGTAATGTTTAATAATAACGATTATCCCTCACCAAGGGAAAATTACGTACTCTTTGTCTGCCCTTCCTCGGACGCAATGAATTTCGTATCCTTAATGCATTTGCTTCCGACGAAAAGCTTCTTCGTCATATAAGCTATTTGATCTGTAATTGCGCATAAAAACCTTCCTAACCAAGAATAGCACCTGGTCATTCTCTTGGAAGTTACGTAAAATATAAGTCATATTTAACTGTTAAAACGATTTTAAATTTTCATCCCTGGATGATTTTTTAAAACATTATGCTATCCCAAATTATAGCATGCGTTTGCAACCGCGCCATATTTTACCTCATAAAGATAGAAAGATTTGATAAGAACCATTTCTTTGAAATAAATTTATTTTCAGATTTATCCTGTATTATGTGAATATGCTTAGCGCTTTATTTTCGACACTTCATATCTAAAAGATATCCGGTCTTGTAGATCACGGAAGACTAATAACATTAAAGATATAAAAATATTGATAAGATGAGAGTCCGGCGTTACCAATTTTCCTTTCTTAGCTTGCGAGGTGAAGAAAGCTGCTGCTTTACACGCAATGCTGGAATAATCTTATTTTGGATGGCTTTGAACATTCTGTCGTCTCTTTTATTCTACATGGCTGACTGAATATCGTGCCGAAAAACATTATTTCAGTAGAGCGACCATGCTAAAAATATGCCAGTGTTATAAAAGGTAAACGAATACTGGAGAAGAGCTTTCATTCAATGCCCCGACATCGAGGAAAAGGCATACTGTACATTGGAACAGTAGTGAGATGGTAATGAATTGGATAATGCGGAATGTAAAGATATATCAGGTGAGTGACAATCAATTTTTTTTAAGCATATAGAAATAGATAGCTTCCTTTTCCGATTTCAGCTTTTATAATAGCGTTACTATTTCAGTATAATTTTTATTCAATCAAATTTTGTTAGTTATTTGCTCTAAACTAACTCTTCTTTAATATAGCTAATCGAATAAAAAACATTTACATGACGAAAGGAAGGCGTTAACTGGAAGCTGCTATTTTTGATTTATTTTATTTATTCTTGAAAGAAGCATAGTATCAAATACAATAAATTCTCACTAAAATAACCGTAAATAGTTTCAGTAATAATAAACCGTAATTAAAAGAAATCTGAAGACTGGGAGTTACGTTTCGACCAGAATGACTGCATGGTTGATTTTAGTGGTTATCCCTATATGTAACGTAAGTACCAGCCAAGTTTCCTTAGAAAATTTGTCATAGTGTCATCCCTACACTTAGGCAGATAGCCTTCATGGATTTTGCCATAATCTGTTTACCTTTATATGGAACTACAGGCAATCATTCGAGAGGTATTTGGTCTTGGAAGCTTTTTGAAATACTTTATTCATATACAAATGGCAGATGTTTTAGACATATATATTTGTAATATATATGTCTAAAACATCATATACAAAGTACGAATTTCAGTCTTATAGGAACATATTTTATAATATGAAATCAAAAATGTAACGCGTTTAATAATAAATACCTGCTGTAATTCAACTTCGCAGGAAAATCACAAGCGACTGAAAGGTACTATTGCTCAGAAGCAATCTTTATCATACAAATATCACTTTCCTCTACTGATAAATTAATTCGACAACTATAGTAAAAGGAAAAGCGTTACTCTTAATAATGATAAACGTGTGGTTACTTTCAATTTAGATGGTTAAAAGTAAACCTAATGATTATAATTATATTTTTCATGGTAATTCTAATTCCCCTTTGAACCTAGCAGTTGTAAGACAGATATAGCAATTAATTAAATAAAGCTTATTCAGATGGATGGAAAAGATTATCATTTCAAGCAGTAGAGTAATGTTTATATCACATGAGAGTTCATTTTATGAGCAGTCATTATTTAACTATAAAATTTTCTCAGTATTGTTGCATACTATGGTTGCATGCAGATCTTCATTAGTAAACTAGGCCAGATGAACAGCAAAGAATGAATGTTTATTGAGATAAATAAGAACTCATTATACGATAATCATCTACAAATAACCGAAGGGCAAACAAAAACGTACTGTACGCCTGTCGGCCCTGATGTTTGTGTTGCTTTGTCCCCCATCGCATGCCAGAGCACAGGTGAATTAAGCACATGGACATCGCAGTTGGAACACCAGAGGAGTAGTCCTGCGTTCCCTTTACAGCTGAGTCTCAACTTAACATCCAGAAAGTTTCCCGAAGGGCAATGATATGACGAGAGCCAGGGACATGCTATCGGGTGCCAGACACTCTCAAAAGAGAGCATTACAGAGGATGAAGTTTGTTTGTATGGGATCGAATAGCAACGAACGGCCGCACTGACCTCTATGTAATTCCTGGCGGTTCCGTCACAGCCGTCTGACATAGCGACCAAAATTCTACACCTTGTTGTGAAACCTTATTTCGCTGAAATGCATACCGATGTGATATTTATGGACGACAACGCCGGCCCGCATAGAGCTCGAGTGATTTAAAGTTACCTGGAGAGTAAAACTATTAACACATTTGCTGTGGCTTCCTAAATCACTGGACCTGAATCCCATACAGCATGTGTGAGTTATGTTGGGACGACGGATAGCAGGTCTCAATGTGCCGCCAGTCACCCTCCATGAACTCCGACATACATTACTATAGGAATGAGTGCTACTGCCACAAAAGCGATCAACTGCACTATTGCCAGCTTGCCTTGCCATTGTCAAGCATGCATGTCTGCTAGAGGGTATCATTTGCGTTATTAGCGTGATGTTTACGTTAAACATTCTTCTAAACCATTTAGTATTACTTGATGCGATGGTCGTAATACATGTGTATGCCTTTGCTTTATTGTTGGCTATATGGTCTAGTAATACCACGCCAAAATCTTGGATCAGTTTCACGCACGCCCATTAAATGGTTTTTGCTTTATTCCGTGTTTTGCTTTTGTTGCTTATTTTTTAGGAGTGTAAAATACGCGAATGTCTTGCAAACATGTCAGATATCTACATGAATATAAAAATGTAGGACGAATGATTTACCATGAAGTGAGAAATCCACTATACCGCTTCCTAGCCACATAGCTTAACTAGCAAACATGATATTTGATTTTCATTGGTTTGAATTATGAATTGCTTTGTGATGAATCTTATGTTATATCTGTATCTTAATTTAGAAGACTACAAAGACTATGAATCTGAAAAGAGAAATTTAAAATTTAGAAAATTATTTCCAATGCTTAATACTTATATGCGAGACAGTACTTCGTGAATTTAATGAATTTGTGGGAAAAAAAAAGCAGTTGATTTTTATTTAGTTAATTTTGGCAAAGCACCACGAGGGCTGTCAGCCTAAGGGGAGGGATGCCTTCGTGGAGAATGTTCTAAGAGAAACTGGCTCGTATACGTGTTAAGCATGTGGAAAACCACGAAAACGCCCACGCAACTAGCCTGTTCGCCGGGATTCAAGCCCTGGACCGACGTATCAATAGTCAGCAATTTTACCGCTCGCCCGCTGGTGAACCCCCAAAATAATGCAGAGCTAGTAAACTGATAATATTACTAAAAACACTCAGTAGTTGTCAACGACGTATTTTTTTATGCTAATCTATGTACTTTAAACACTTACTTTTATTTCATAGTTATCACAATGTGAACTTCTTTCATTCTTTATATTTTCGTACTTTGCTTAAATTTAAAAAAATTCAGTACATTGTATAATTCCACTATTATCCTTGTTGAGGAATTAACTCTTCAGTTTGGTATTATCTTGTCGTTATATAAATTTAAGATCACTCTTCATTCAAAGAAAGAAAACCCACTAATTATATCAACTTCTGAATTCAGTAATTCTTTATTCAAAATAATAATGAAATTTTCCTTATTCGAACCTTATTAAGTAAACTTTAATTTACTCGTTATATTGCTATATTTTTATAAAGGCTTCTGTTATTTTTCATTTTGTTCCTTTCTTTGCCAATACAAATTTTTGATTAAAATAAAGAGAATCATCATCATAAATTTCTAGGTAAAAGCGGCCGTTATATAACCCACATGATGGAAAGATATTTATCTACGTGTCAAGTATCTATAGCAAAAGCCTTTTAAGTTTTCTACTGTTGTAACGGGAAATAATCTAATAACCATTACACTAATTCAATTCGTTATTTTCATTAAAAAAAAAACAACGAGAAAAAAGGGAATGTTGCGGGAAACAGTCATTAATCCTTTCTGAAGACTAGATCCAATTTCTAACTAAGGTAAATAAAACTAGTTTGTTATAAAGCATTTATGTGAGGAACAATAAATTGAAACATACCAAATATAGCTTGCGTTTCAGATTTTACAACCTATTTCTTAAATAGTAGTTTTATATTAAGCAAAACTCAAATTATTGATAACTACCGATTTAAATGGAAATTTTTAACCATGTTTAAAGGATAAGCTTGTTGTGTCTTATATTTTTTGGAAGCACAAACTAAGCTTGAGACTGAATCTGAACGTAAGTGACTTATCGCTATGTCCAGTAAGCAAACAGAGACGTACGAAGGCTCTAAAAAACCCTTTAATTAAATTAAGGTAATTCAACAAAAGCCACTTCTTGTGCTTACAAACCAGGCAGCATTTATGGCGTAACTAAGGTAAAAAGTAATGAATTTAAACTAAAGCTAAGATACGTAAGTCTAAGACAGCCAGAGGCTGATGGATCGAATAACGCGCAAATTGCCTCAAATCTAATATCAGGATGACAGTCTTAATGGCGCAGTCCCTCAGACAGAATGCAGTCAAATTAAAAGAGTTTCGACTAGTAACGTGGCATTCTGTTAGGTAGCTAACCAAGTAGGCGGTCAGTTCAGTGTTTTTGAATTTTACTACGATTTTAATAGCTTGCTGTTTCAGGTACCTTCGGGTACGAAAAGATGTCCTTTTTTAGGACACCGGACGACTTTACTGACGAAGATGACCTGACTTCGAACCAGAACTCAGAATGCTCTTTTCGAGCTACAACATCACAACCTAAAAAATGAAAAAAAGAGGATTTTATCAAGAAAAACCCAAAGAAGAAAGTAAAGCAGATACCTCCTTTGACTCCTACTAATGAAGAAATACCTTTTGTAGAGCCAGAAAAGTAACAGCAATGATGAAATTCATTAAAGAACAAGGAACTGAAGCATTAATGGAAAGACTGAGGAAATCTCCTCAATTCGGAAGAACTCCAACATGGAAACGACAAGAAACAAGAAACGACGAAAAGTAGTATTGATGAAACGCAGAAACCAGCAACTGAAGAACCCTGGATTTCTCCAAAGAAAACCGCGAGAGTCTCGCAAAATCAAGATCCCATGGAAATCCTGCAAAGCAACCGCTTTAAAAGACTTGTTAACGCTAAAACTGATGATAAAGCCGAAATAAACTCAGATGAAGTACCCCCTCCAGATGAAGTATTGAAGCAACAAAATGTAGAATGGTTACAACTTGAAGAGCTCTGAAATTCGAGCAAAGAATAATTTGAAGCTCAAATTAAGACAAAATCAATCTTCGTGAACGTAAAATCCATAGAAGACTACAAAACCGTATTGCAACTTATGACGTCGAAAATCATACCCCACCATCCCTACCTAATGAGCCATGCAAAACCCTTAAGAATTATCTTGAAGAACCTCCCCGACAAACTTACAAGGGAAGCAATATTTAAAGATTTACAGAGACGAAAATATCCCATACTAAATGTGAAACAGTTCTGCAGATCCCGCAAGAATAATTCTGAAAAATTACCAATTTGGCTACTCGAGCTGAAGAAAGGTAAAAATGGATATGCTATTCACAATC